TGCATGAAACTCCGAGTCATGCTTACTACCAGTGAGGAAAAAATGTATATTTATTTATTTATATATATATATATATATATATATATATATATATATATATAATTAATCTTATTAATTATATATAGGAATTAATCTTTCACTCGCCAGTAGTTTAGCATCGCCTGAAGAGACACATTTATGGTGCTGAAACATAATTGTAATTGTGTAGCGATTATTAACATGTTTTAATATCCTAAAATAAATTTAGCTCTATTATGTATTGAGCTCTCTATTAAATTAAATGTTTTGTTCAGTGGAATCATACTCCATTTGTTCTCATTTTACTTATATATATATATATATATATATATATATATATATATATATATATATATATATATAGTAAAGGTAATAAACCCATTGGTATACAATCCGAGTGGATTTTAGTAATATATTAAAACTGATCCATAAAAAGAGCTCAATGTATTTATTGTTACAGGGCAATATAATTAATAAACAATAAAATACAAAATCACCTCATATGGAGAATAGCCTATTTTGGCAAATGATGATGTCAGTGGTCTGTCTTATCAACCCCAGTGTGGACTGAGTTTGTATCAAAAATAGAAATTTAACTGTAAAAGCTAAAAAAAAAATCAACTTGTCAAAAAACTAATACAGAATTTATCCATTTCAATGTTTCAGTCAGACAAAAGGAACAAGACAGTGGTCAGGGGAGTGTGGAAGGTAATTGTCTTAAAGGGAAGAAGTTTTATAAAATTAAACCCAAATATTAACCTTATGACATTAATTTGGAGTTATATGAAGAATGAAATATTAATTTAAAATTAAAAGAGGAATCAAAAGTGGTTTTAATATTTTATATTTCCACTTGGATTCTATACCAACAGATGTATTACTTTTAATATATATATATATATATATATATATATATATATATATATATATATATATATATATAGTATCAATTGTATCAAGGTTGCAATTGTTTTTTTTAAACAAGTTTTATTAAAAAGAATTGTATGTCTATTGAATTTATCCATTGTCTTTTCCCCAAACTGCAAATCACCATCCACAAACCTGGCTGCTGCAAATGCAAAAAATATCCCAAATCAACGCTGTACCCAAACTTTCATTTCACATGTGTCATCTTCAGGGCAGAGACAAAAGTAGATTAAATTGAAAGAAAACCAGAAGTAGTTCATTTTTTTAAAAATGTGATTATATTTTTTGTTTGAAATTGAGTTCAATAAATATAATGACATTTTCACAGATAACTACCAGCAACTTCAAGCAAACTCTAAGATATTTATCAAGCTTAATTTAGTTTGAGCCACAGTAGTGGGGCATTGTCGTGGTGACTTACCTCGGAGATCCAAAAGGGCTAGAGTCGTGTGTATATTTTGCAAGGGAGTGTGGAGACGGCAAATTGGCGAACTTTGGATGGACGGTGAATTGGACAGCATGTCGTGCTAATGGAAGTGGTGGTATTGCTTGTAGCCATTTTTATTGGCTGGTTCTGGGTGCTCATTGGCTGAGTGATGGCTGGGTCATGTGTATAAAGGCATGGTATGTTCATTCAAGAGCAGTTGGTTTTCTTTCTTCTGACAGGGAGTGGTGTATTGGAGATTGAGATGCGAAGAGTAATGTGGATTTGATTTGCCTAGTGGGCCTGTTGGACTTGCACTAACTTTTTTCCCTTTCTTTTCCTGTGTGTGCATCCAACCAATTTTTACACAGGCACTCAGTGTAAGTCAAACTCAGCAAGGCTTAAATTCACTAAAATAGCAATAATCTACAGAACAACAATAACTCTAAAACAGGCACCCCATATCAATTCACTGATGTAAATCATAAAACTCAGATTTTGATTTTTCACTGAATTTTTCATGAGATCTAGAATTCTTACTACCCAACACTGGTTCACATGGATTAGAGTTTTCATCTTTAATGTTAGTATCACAATGTTTCCATCATTGTACACTCCAATCTTTTTTAGGTGTCTCTCATAATTCATAACTTAATGGATAAAGGTATTGGATTGGTTCCACTCTCCATAGGAAATGACTGCAAAACACTTGCCCCTCCTCAATTTATAGGCAGAAGCATGCTGGGACTCTTCCTAGCCAATAAGATAGAACACTTGGTGACATTTGACGCAGTCCCCATCTGTCTTGCCTTGAAGTCAGAATGCTGCATTTGTTCATCCTAATTTGCTTTTGTGTATCGACGCCAATTCTTAGTTTGTGAACTTTTTGCCATATTACTGTTAATTTGTTTTGCATATATCGTTTGCTTGCTTTATATTATTTTTGTCCTGTTTTTTTTCTTTTTCTTGTTATTGCTTATTACAAACTTTGTCAATTCACTCTACGTATTGGCTATATGAATTTAATTATCTGGTTATAGTGGGTTTAATCCTTGGATTAGGTAATGCAAAAAGTCAAATATTCTTTGGTTCATTGGAAAAGACAAGCAACATCACAAAGAATAAACAAGGAAGTATTAACTGACACAAGTTATCTGCCCTGGCATTAAACAACAGAATGAGATCCTCATTGACTGAATAAAGAGTTCAGTCCCAAATACCAAGAAATATAACCAATATGACAGTCACCTGAAGAAGGGCAGAACAGGCAAAACATTGCCAGTATAACAGCAATGATGAGGATATTAGTACAAGTAAATCAATGTACTATAATAATAGGTTATATCAATGAATTGAAGTTGCTGTCACTCTAGAGATATGACTATAAAAATAAAAATATTAGCCTAAATAATTTGTGGAATAAAGTCAACCATAATTTTTTATAATAATAATTTAATTTTTTTCTTACAAAACAAATAGTATTGCGTACGAAAAAGACACCTACATCAGAAAAGTTAACATTTTTAAAAACTAACTGGCATAAAACTAAAATTTAAAATATAAATGACATTAAAGGAGTTGATTTCATTGTGAGAAAAAAATTAACATATTCAAGGGAAGTAAATCTTCCACTTACCATACCATCAAATAAATGTAGTTGTCTCCCCTTATTCTCTGAGGTCTAAGATTATTAAACAAAATAAATATTTAGGAACCAAAAGAGAAAGCAACGCAACAGATTTTTTTTTTTTTACTTATACCTTGTAGTACTGTAGCGATGTTGGTTCAGTAAAAAAGAAAAAAATATTTTACAAACAAAACTCACAACGAACGAGCAAATACAAAGGTCCAATGTTGAGAAATTGCCCAGTTATAATTTTTCACTGAGTGAAGAAGCAAAAACAAGACTATTTATTTTTAGAATAAAAACAAAAATATTGCGCAAGGCCGAATACTGGAGGGATGGGAAAGTGTTGGTTTTTTACTCTTCACTATCTTTATATTGACTTAATTTTTTAGCAACTTAAACATTCCTCATTGTTCCTTTCACCATAACAATGATTTTTTTTCTGGTGTCTTTCATTTAACAATCTCTTTGAAAATTTCACTAAATCCCTATTTACACAATTATGAATGGACAGATAAAAAAAAAAAACAATCAGTTCATCCCTGATGAGTTGAATAAAACAAAATATATTTGCAAGAATAGAATATTTACAAAAAATGCATTAAGATTGTATCATGTCCATAAAAAAAAAAAAAATTAAATATAGCATCAAAAATAATTATAATAAAATAATTATGACAGTTATAATTATGATTAATTTACTCTTTCTAAACCATTGAGAATCAACACCACTTTTCTCCTCTACACACACAAACATGTGACATCCTCACTATTGGACAAGCAGTCAACATGGACAGGCCGTCAACATGGACAGGCCGTCAACATGTGTGTAAACAAAAATTTCAGCTCCTTTCCTTTTTCAAGTCACAATGATTACATTCGTCTTTTAACACTCAACAAAAATTCAAGGTCTGTCTATATTTCTGAGATGAGGTATTATGTATACTATTTACATTATTCGGACTATTGTCCTCATCTTTGTCGCCATATTTATTATAACGTTTCGGTCATTGTATGCTCTGGCCTTCTTCAGGTGGTTGGAATGTCAAACTGAACCCTTTATTTTGCTCACTGTGCCATGTGTCCTCAAGGACATGGCACAGTGGACAAAGGCGTCAGTTAGATCCAATGACAGGACCCAAAGAGCGTGAGTTCAATACCCGGTTAAGGCAGTGGAGAACTTGAAGAGGGGAATTAACAGGAGATAACTGACAACTGACATCCATTAAACATGGCATGTGCAACTAGAACAGTCTACCCCAGTGAGTGAAATAAAGGCTTTAGTTTGACATTCCAACTACCTGAAGAAGGCCGGAGCGTACAACAGCCAAAACATTGTAATAAATATGGCAACAAAGATGAGGACAATAGTCCGAATAATGTAAAAATTCAAGGTAAGAAAACTTCAGACACTTTTATTTTTCAACTAAATTATCTGGGCACTCATTACACAAACGTATAAAATAAAACATACAAGAAAAACTGTATACAATTTACTTATTCTTTATCTTATCAGATTTTGATCCATATTTGAGTTACATTTGACCCCAACTCACAATTTTTCTAAGTATTACTGTCTCTTGTTTCTCAAACACCACAAAACAACCAGATAATGAATAATACTCATTTTGTTGTTTTGTTGTTTCTTATTTTTACAAGTATTTTTTTTATATATAAATGTTATGGGTTTAAAAATATTTACTCAGAATTATAACTCCCCTACAATTGTAATATGGCAAAAGAATAAGTTAACAGATCAAAAAATAATGTAGTAAAGTGAATGAGAAAAGTAAAAGGAAATAAAAATGAGGAAATAAAAAAAAAATTCTGGAAATATTCCCACATCAAGTGAGAATTTAGATCTCTAATCATCTTCTGAGAAATAAGATGCAAAGGAGAAAATAAAATGAAAGTTAATAAAACAAAAATGAAGGAGGCCAATGCGTTTACATTCCTGAGTTAAACTAGCTTAGCAATCCTTCTGCCTAAATTCAGGGTGAGGTTTACAGCCACATCTACGTTGAAACACTCGTTCCTGTATGATCAGCAAAGTTAAGCAACGTCAAGCCTAATCAGTACCTAGATGGGTGACCACTTGGAAATACCAGGCGCTGTAAGCTTGAATGAGCAGCTAGTGTAATGGATAATGGTTCAAAATTGTTACTCAGAGAGCTAAGTTCAAGTTCCAGTTGAATTCATTATATTCACTTATGAACAAATACTCTTGGGAAAGGCATGAATCCACCTATTCTTCACTCCAGCTATGGGTTAATTAATAAGACTTGTATCATAAACTCATTATTATCTCAAAAAAAATTTCTCCAAACTAAAAATATTTTTAGGCTTTAAACAACCTGCAAAGGGCTGATAAACCATAAAAAATGAATGAATGAATCAATTCAAGCTGAGCTGACTGCTCTTGCTCAGAAGCACAAAATCATTTATTTCTAATTCCCTCAAGATGCCAATCTAAGTAAATACCTCTCACATGATTCAGCCATGTTGCACACACCTTTCATATAAGTTCACTAAAGTCAGCCTCTGTCCCTTATTCTACCTGGATCTTAACTTTAAGCTGATCTTTAAATAAGGTGACCAAATGGTTGGGGGGGGGAATGAGACATGTTAATTTGGATTTTTTTCTTCACAATAAGCTCCAATCATTTATAAACTGGGCCAAGTACTTTTAAATTTGAATGCCTCCAAAACAAAACTGCTATCCTTTAATCGTCATAGAGAATCATTTTTGCCCTCCATCAGTATGGCTGATGCTAACCTCCAGAAGAGAAACTCATTGTGCCTTCATGGTTTCACTTTCTTTAATGACATTATTTTACTAGAGCGATTATATTGACTCAATTGCTAGGTCTGCTGCTAAGAAGGTTGGTTCACTGTGTCATGCAAGACAATTTTTCTTGCTAGAATCCATCTTGCACATTTATAAATCTAACTTTTTTTCCATGCATTGAATATTGTTAGTCTGGTGCACTGTCTATATATCTCGAGATTCTCAAAAAAATAACATTACTTATTTTTTAACAGTAACAATTACAAACCCAATACCATTACAAACCCATCTTTGAAGGGTTTGTAATGTTATTGCTCCTGACTTGAAATCTTGACTTCAGTCACATTCCTCACCACCATAATGTGGCTTCCCTCTGTCTTTTCTATTAATATTTTTATGGCATTTGTTTTAATGAGCTCTCCTCCTTGGTATCTCAATCACATGAATTTAATACTAGGTTGGCAATTAGGTCTAATCATTTTACTGTTGAAATAACCAGATGCAAGTTCTATTCTAATACAGTATAACCCGGATATAAGAGAGTTGTCGGGACCAGAGAAGAAGTCTCTTATATCCGGGTTTCTCTTATATCCGGGTTTGGTCTATTTTATATACATTAACACAGGCTCTAATTTGGGAACAGAGAAAATCTCTCTTATATCCGGGTTTCTCTTATATCCGGATCTCTTATATCCGGGTTACACTGTAGTTTCTTTTCTTAAACTTCTCTTCTGTGGAATTCTCTTCCAATTTTTTTGCTTCCCTGTCATTTACAATCTTTAAAAATTTAAATGCAATATCAATTGCCATCTTCTGTCTTCCTGAATCCTCTTCTTTTATTGTCCTTTCTTCTCACTAACGTCTTCTCATTCTCTTTCACTCCTAGTAACCCCTTTTTTGCCTTAGTGGCTTTATTGCCTTGCTTGTGATGAAATGGTTAAAAAAGGAAAGTAAGCACAGAAAAATGTAATGCTTCTTCTTATCAAACAATGGATTCATGTTGCTACAAACTGAACTAACTACCAAAATAAACACTGTCACTATATTATGCAAGCCATTTATTACTGTGGATGCACAACTATAAAAGAAGGTAGAAACACAAGTAGGACACACCAAGACTGTTTTGCTTCAATTATATATCGAGTGTGGTTATCATGAAGGGCCTTATCACAGGTCTCCACCAAGTGACACAATTTCTTGCTATCACTCAATGTTTTTGTCCTTTCTCAGATATTGTCATTCTGTTTCTTTCTCTGCTGGCTTCTTTCCTTGCACTATACCTTTTAGGATTGTTTTGATAACTGGTTATGAGATATGACCATATCATTTTCATTTGCCTCATTTCATTGTGGTTAGCTGGTCTTCTTATTGCCTATTCAGTTACATGCTGTGGCAGACTGGCCAAGATGTCAACTTGCCCAATTCCAAGTGGGACTCTGATGAAGTTGGCCCCCTATATCAAATAAAAATGCAATAAAGAAACAAACACAGACAACTGTCTTAGTAATAAAAAGGAATAAGAAAAAAAAAAGAGAACAAGACACAGATAAGCAGTACATGAAAAGGAATGAAGGAGGGAAGGTAATGGAATGGAAGATGAGAGAGGGACATAATTAAGGAAATTCCATGTTTTTAGCAAATGTGTGTGAATTTAAAAATAAACTTAAAATTCATGATTTGAGATAGAGAAATGAATAAAAAAATTTCCCACAAAAATTTTAATTGTACTCTTTTTTCAAAATGTATTTTTTTGAAAATTCTATTTGCTGTATTTTCCAGCTTACAAGACAATTTTTTTCTAAAAAATATATGTACGTCTTCCAAGATGAATGTAAGGCAACACCCAAGCTCAAGTAAGCTTGGACGGTCACCTAATTGGCTTGACTGATAGGGACGTGGATTTGTATGTTGAGTCATTACACTATAATGAGAGGTATCTAATTCAGCCTTTTATATGATATAACCTCAGTACTTAACTGCTACAAGTATTTCCAAGACTATAAACCTTCATGGAGCTGAGCCACAAGCTTAAACATGCTCTGTTTATTAACAGCGATGAGAACCTTTCTGCTCTTGACTAGTATGTCATTGCCATAGAAACAAAATCGGACAAGTGATTAATGTAAACAATACGTGGTGCCAGTATGTGAGGGACGCATGGTGAATGTTTTGTATGAGAATGACTTTTTTGTTTCTTAGAAATTTCTTTCAAATATTAGGGTGCATCTTCAAAGTCACAGCATCTTGTAAGCTGGAAAATACGGTATTCATTATGAAAATTAAATGATAACATTGTAGCTTTGGGTAGGCCCACTTTGTCTCCTGGCAACCATTATTTTTAGACCCTGTCTAGTACTTCTTGCATGATTTTGTTTTTCACTTTTTATTTGTAATATAGTATTTGTAGTGTTGCAGACACTCCTCCCACTTAGGCTGAAAACAGTGGCAACAATATTTTGCACAAATAAATGAGCGTAAGGAAATGAATGACTTTCAACGAGGCAATATTTTATAATTTTTGCTTTTATATAACTGAGTAAAAAGGGAGAGAAAATACACAAATATGTGTGTAAAAGAAAGAAGATATTACAAAGTAGGAATTGTGTGGGTGAATAAAGGTCAGTCACCGATAAAAAAAATATCCCCATGCCTGGAAATATTTTTTAAAATAGCGTACTACTGTCATGTTTAGGTTAGTGCTGCCTAGTCTTCACTTTCCACACTTGATAGAGTCCAAAAGCATCTACACGGCCTTGTGGGTGATGAATTGTTTTCCACCTTACAACTCCTTTCTGATAGATGAAACATTGAAAGCATCTCATTACTCTACCGCTGTTTCCATGGAAAATGTTCAAACAAGCTACTTTCCTTAATTCCCCCAACTTTAACCCTCCCCAGCTAAAACCCACTATGTTCCATACATTGAGGCAAACTACACTCATTCTCTTTGTATTCCTTTAGTAAGTTCCAAGAACTGTTGCTTTATGGAACAGACTCCCAAGGAGATGCTTTCCAACCACTACAATCTTAAACCCTTCAAGTCTAGAGTTAATTGTTATCTTTTCCACATATCCCCATAAACTGTCCCCTTTACTCTTACCACTCAGCTACAATTACATTCATTTACCCTCTACCTTGAATGGCTCTTGGGCCTTGTATATGGTGTACATTATGAAGAAAAAATATTCAAACAACTGTTTTCATCCTCTGTGAACAAATAGGTATACATTTAACAGAAATGCATTTAATTTTCAAATCTTCTGTTAACGTTGGCATGCATAATCTCTATGACAAACCAATTCCTTCAGATATTTCATCAAGGGTCTGATGATCATCTTCATTTCCTGCATGGTGGACTTTTCAAGATTTTTGTCATTTTAGCAGTTGAAAGTCAGCCATTGTCGTCTGATGATAGCCATGTACAGAACAATTTGAAATAGACTATACCCATGTGAGGTTAATTTTTGGATTTTTGCTGTAAAAATATAGAATATAATATATAATGATATAGTTTTTAAGTTATGGTTTATTTATTGGTAAAAGTGCTCAATATCAGGGATGTAAATCTAAAAGCAGACACTCAGATGAACACTGAGTGGTGACAATCTGTTTTGTGCTTGAATATAATCTCCAGGTTATATATGTTGTGTAGTGGTTCATGTATTTATATATGTTGGTCAGTGAGGCATTATGTGTAGCAAGTCAAGTAATTTTGGTTTATTTTATTATCCTAATGGTTATTTGGTAGACGGCAGCATTTATATTTCATTCTAAAGGTTATTGAATAGAAATCATTGTGGATCCAAATGCAGTTATTTGTACCTATTGTATAGTATTGATAACTTTTAACTTCTTATTTATTATTGATACTTACATTATTTTATATTTATTCATTATTTGTTGTTAATTATTATTATTACATTTACTTGTGTTTATGTGTGTATCTGTAGTTTGTTATTTTGTTTATTTAGATTTTTGTTTATTTTAATTTCTTTTGAGGATTAGTTATCTGTTTAGTATAAATAAAATATTGGCTTTGTCTAATGTATGTTATATTATTTGCATTGTATGTAGTGCATATTTTTGCATTATTCTTTGTGATGTTTTACAAGGTATTCATTTGTAGTTTTTGAGTTTTAAGTAACATACATTTTGAGATAAGTTCTGATCATCTATTTAATAATTTGTGTTAGTCTGGGAAGGTGATTATAGGTATTTTTTCCTCCAGACAAAGTTTACAGTTTTTGGATTTATTGTTGTAGGCTGATGCTGATTTCTTTATTTTCCATGATATTTTGGTTTATTTTGTTTTTTATTTTTGATTTCTCAT